TCTCTCTCTCTCTCTCTCTCTCTCTCTCTCTCTCTCTCTCTCTCTCTCTCTCTCTCTCTCTCTCTCTCTCTCTCTCTCATATCCATGGAAAAAAATGAGGCACGAGCAACGTCCACATCCATCCGACTGCGGTCGACGACAGCGGATTCACAATGATGTGACGGCCATAGCCGACCAATGACCTCCGGCGGTCGCACGTGTCTACCGTTCTCGTATAGCCTTCGCTATTTCCAGCAGCGCCTRGCAGATAAGCTTGCTAACTTCAGTGGAGGCAGCACAGTGTTGTTTYTGGATCTTCACCTCCGCTTCGATAGCTTCGCACTGCCGAATCTGGATGAAGCATTGCCTCTTGCTYGCGCTCTCCATCGTCTCGCACTGCCTCCTGYTGGCGCTCTCCATCGTCGACACCATCAACGCCCCATGCTTGTCCATGCACTCCRACAACGCCTCGAATGTAAGCTGCCGCWCATTCTTYCTCTTCCCGAGCCCGGTCGGGCCACCACTCGTCTRTGAGCCACCTTGTGCTGAGCTGTCGTCTTCGTCGTTTCCATCACCTGCGGCTTCCCCATCCCCCACAGATTCTGGAGTCGCCGACTGTGSAGATGGGAGTTGCACAACCCCTGCCCCGCCAGTGTCTGCGACATTGGTCGGGCTGATAGTGTGGCTCCTCTCCCTCGCCCCTTTGATCTCCTCGAACACGGCTTGATCCATGTTGAAGCTGAATCCTTTCTCTGCCCTCTGCTGACTCGTCAACTGGAAGAAGTCCTCCTTCCCCGACATGCCCATGAAAGCATGGACCTTCTTGAACTGCTGCATGAGATTGTCCTATTTTTTCCCGCATTTGTCTGCCGGCCTGTCGACACCGACCTTCAGCAGCCTCTCCCGGACGTCCAACCATTTCCACTCCCTCGTCCGCATCCGAGCGAAGTTGTGTCCCGACGCTTGCAGCTGGGCGTCCTGATCCCGCTTYGCCCTGATTAGGGCCACCATGTGTTCCACGGACCAGAACTTCCGCCCTCCTTCCCCATCCCCCTCGCCTTCCGCGTCTGCAGAGGYCGCGGATGTCCTCGTCCGCCTGCGCACCGCTCTAGTCGAAGTGCTGCCCCTGCCGCCCCTCCCACCCATRTTCGGCGCAMGCAACGGGAACACGTCGCTGYTGTCGTCGTCGTCTACGTCGCACTAAGCTTCGCCAGCGTTTGTCCATGCGTCACCCCCCCCGGCGACCACSTCTGCTTGCCCACTCTGSTCGCCCACGCGTAAACGCTCCACACCTTGCGTTATGGACTCTTCTTGCTGCCGCCGCAACTCCTGCCTTGCCTCCTTCCACACCCGCCTGCCATCTCCATGCGCGCCCTCGGAAGGGAAGTCTTCGTGAGTCACAGCCCGATCTACGGGACGACGAACGCCGTCGCGCCCCCCAGACAACGGAGGACTGAGGGTCATCCACTCAGGACATTGCCCGACAATGCGTGGAACTGACAGGCCAGAAGTCGCCTGCGTTCGAGGCCATGCCRTCGTCTTCCCCRACGTCACCTCTGCCGCCGCTCTGCCCCTCGTGCCCCTGCCGCCGAATGTGACCTGCCCYGCGTCGTCGTCGGRATGAGGGTTCACGAGCACAGTGCGCGTGATAGAAGACGGGCTCCCGCTCCGGAGGCCAAATGTGAGATCGACAGGGGGGAGGCATTCCTCCTCCTYCGCGCCGTCGTGAAGGAGGGRAGTGAACGACTGCCCGTACTTCGCCCCRSGGCGATCATACAACTGGCTACCCGTCCACTCCTGGGTAGACCCGCTACCCAGCGGAACTGTCCTCGACACGTCCACCTCCGCCTCCCCCTCGTCCAAATCGGGCAGCGGTTGCAAGTGAGGCGGCAGTCCTTCGTACTGTGACGGACCTGCACAGATTCGGCCGCCCTTTTGTCTACACCGGCACCGATCGTAGCCCGGTCGCCGGGATAAGGGGCGGACAACGCCCTCAGATTCGGCCGCCTCCCGTCCATGGCCACGCTCTTCCTCGCCCCTCCTTTCCTGCGAGTACGTGAAGGCAACCTCCCCAATATGCACACCTGAACAAAGACGACAATGACAAGCAGAATCACGACGAGGAGGAGCAACGGCAGCTTGCGGAACACGTCGGCCATGTAAGACAACCGCAGCGTAACGRCCAACCTGAGGGCGACAAACAGCAGACGACAAGTGATGGCTGATGACGCCCTCCGGCGGTTTACATTGCGGACCTCTGCTCTCGGCGACGGACGTACAGCCTGACGAATTTCGAAACAGCTGCCCGTTAGAGGCCTGTCCGTTTCCCGCCGGCACGCGCGAGGGGCTRGGTCACCTCGGGCCCTTCACGGACCCCGTCCGCCACTCTTCGTTACCRTTGCCGCTGTCCCCACCGAAGTCGAACGTTGTCGGGCGGTAATGTCCRCCCGCACCTCGGCTRGACCACCGTTGTACCACACTACAAAACTGTGCCGTCGCCGAAGGCTGCCGCCGCCGTCCCGATTTTGCGGAAACTCCYACTCCGAGGGACCTCGCRAGGTACCTTGGGGAGCGCAGCCAAATGGCTGTGGCCCGAGGATGCCCCGAGGACACCCCGAGGAAATGTTTTCACATCGGTTTCCAAGGAACTCTTTCGAGGACAGRTGGAACGKTCATTTCCTCATGAATTTTGAGCGCCCGAGGAGTGTCTAACGAGCCCCCAACGAGCGCGCCTTCCCCAAATCCAGCAAAGGTCGTACCCCCCTCACATCCGATATCATCACCCGTGTTGCTAACACCCTGGCTGTCTCGGAAACATGCATAAAGCTCACCTCTTCSCTGGTGTTATAGTGCTTGYCGATATTGTTGTTGTGGTTGCTGCGATCGTCACCACTGATGTTATTGTCRTTGCCACCRGCACTGATAGTCAGTTTTGATTTCGTTCAAAAAATATAATATGTTCGTTTTGACGAAATGGCTGTTATTGTTGTTGTTGTTGCTGTCGTTGTTGTCGTCGTCGTTGTTGTTGTTGTTGTTGTTGTTGTTRTTGTTGYTGYYRTYRTWGTWGTTGTTGYTGYYGTYGTYGTCGTCRTCGTYGTTGTYGTCGTYGTCGTCGTCGTYGTYGTTGTTGTTGTTGTTGTTGTTGTTGTTGTTGTTGTTGTCATTGTAGTTATTGTAACGGACAGCGCCGCAGATGAGATCGCCAATGTCCTCGCTGTCAGCAATGTTGTTGAAAAGAACGGTGGTGCTAGTAAGCTCGCCATCATCCCTACTACCGATGTCRACGGCRTCGTCAGCAACGGAGTCGATGTCATCCTCATAGCACCGTGCTTCCAGCTCAGCACAAAGATCTTGCCCCTCCTCAAGGTCTTCGTAGTAGTTCCGCATCAAGCTGCCCAATCGTCGTCCATCTATGAGCGCACGAAGATGAGGGGGCGGCCCCTCCTCCAACCCCCACGCAGTCTCCATTAGCACCTCCTGCACACTCCGGATCCACGGAATTGATGGCACCGTCGTTTCTGCAGCCACCCCTTTCAACTTCGCCACTTCGCAGCACACACGTTCTCTGCTCGCTTGGACAATGGCCAGACACTCAGTGGCTCCCAACTCGCCCAACCTCGCCATTGGAGATGTCAGAAGCTGCACCACTATCACTAACTATCGACAATTCCACAGCTGGCGTCACCCCTGCCCGTGCGTCGCAGAGCACGACTCCAACAGCAGTCGCCACGTGGCAGCCAGGCCACCATCCAAGTCTGCTGGGCGCACGTGCAGGCCTAACCTCCGAAGGACTTCCCCCCTCCGGCGCTAGTCTAGCCGGCACACCGAGACGGCTACTTGTTAGGATAGTCCCAGAGCGGGGTATACGTGCACCCCTTCCATCTTCGCCCTGTCAGTCTAGATATACCCATAATGATGAGGAGTGTTCTATTTGTTCGATTTGGCTGACGACCGTTGTGACGCTGTGACACTATTACCCACCACCCAAAACGATAGCGAGAACGATGCAACTGACCAGCCGAAAAATTCAAAGGACCAAGGCGATGATCTTGGGTGAGCCCCTCGTGCAGATTTCGAGGATGGTCGATTCTTGGCAACCCCCTCAGACTCTGTACGAAGGAATCACCCCTCTCCTTGCCCGGTATAATGACAAGAAGCATTACTGTGACATTACGGATCTACCCAAGTCCTTATTGACATCTGCTAAAGAAGTGAGATTGTTACGTCTGGGGGCGGAAGCAAGTTCGCTGGAACCCCCTGGGCGTCTCAAAGCAGAAACAGACGAACTGGGGATAAAGATCGCAACTAAGAACGTGCCATGGCAAGATATTCGTGACGAAATTACCCCAAAAGGACACGTGGCAATCCGGGAAGAAGATGCCTAGATGATGGCCACGGTGTTCTCCTGGCGATCGGACCATTCGTTCATCTCGGCGCCTCCGCCCGATGTGGCAAAACAGGCGCGCACGAAACAGATTGACGTTTGGATCTAGGACCAACTTTTCGAACTACACGTTCCACAGTACGTACCGGATGAAATCCATCGGGTGATTGCGGACATTCTACCGGAATACCAAGGAGCGATTAGTGTGATTGACACTTACATTGGTTTATCGTTAGTAATCCAACATAAGATTCAGACAGGAAATCACTCCCTAATTCATTGCAAAACCTACCGGTATTCCTTGATTGAACGCAAAAAGGCTCTCGAGCGAATTCGGGAGTTCGAAGCCAGCGGCTGGATTGAACCCGCCACCGGACCTTGGTCATTTCCCGTAGTGTTAGTACCGAAGAAAAACAGAGCGATTCACATTTGCATTGATTATCGCAAGTTGAATGAGATCACGATCAAAGATGTGTACCCCCTCCCCCGGATTGATTATTTGCAGGATGCGATTGGATGTGCTAATTATTTAAGCAAGTTTGATATTCGGCATGGTTTCCATCACATTCTGGTGAGAGAGGAAGATCGGCCGAAGACGGTCTTTGTGTTGTTTGAAGGCACGTGGCAGTGGGTTCGGTGTCCGATGGGGATTTGCAATGCACCTGCCATGTTTCAGCGAGCGATGAACATGACGTTCCATAATTTCGTCGACAAGACACGGCTGACACAAGGGAAGATTAACTTCTACGTGATCAAGTACATGGACGATATCCTGGTCTATTCGGAAACCTATCACGGACACGCGCAACATATCGAATGGACATTGGGCGCATTGAGAGACGCTGGGTTCAAGATTGCGCTCGAGAAGAGCGAATTTTTCCTCTCGGAAATTTTGTTCTTGGGCTACGTCGTGGCACGTGGAGGACAACGACCGGACTTAAGAAAGGTTGCAGCAGTGAAGGAAGCCCCGGTTCCCACGTCACTGATGCAGGTTCGAGCCTTCTTTGGTTAGCGTCGTACTACCGGCGCTTCATCAAGGGCTTCGCCGCGATTGCACGACCATTAACGAATCTGCTACAGAAGGACTAGCCTCTCAGCTGGAACGCGGAGTGCCAGCAGGCCTTCGCGACCTTCAAAGACGCCTTAGCGACAACTTCTATTTTGATTCGGCTGGACCCCTCGAAACAGTTCATTCTTATCATGGACTGGCAACCGGAGGCTGTCTCCGCTATTCTAGCGCAGAAGGGGAACGATGGTCGTGAACACGTCATTGAGTACGCATCACGCACAGTGCCAGATGAACGTCGGAATGACTCAGCACCTCAAGGCGAGTGCTATGCGGTAGTTTGGGGAATCCAACACTTCCATCCGTATCTCTACGGACAGAAGTTTCGCCTCGTGATGGATCAAGAGCCTCTGCTAGCTTAAAAGAAGCTCACCAACTACACGGGCATGATTGGCCGATGGGCGGTACGGCTACAGAAGTATGATTTCGATATCGTTCATTGGAAAACGGAGAGACATGGCAACGCGGATGGACTGACACGTCTGCATCGACCTGCTAAAGTACCGAAGCGCGAGGAAATCATACCGTGGAAGGAACCGGAATTCACAAACGAGCCCAAGTACGGACAAGTGGCAGTTCTCCCACGTGGCAAGAAGCAAAACAGTGGCGATGGGTGATGGAGGTAACTCCACTACCCCTCTTTTTCCCCTTTCCTCCTCGTCTCTCCTCTCCCTGCCTGACAAATTTTGCTATTTTTGCGAAGCTATCTCCCGCGTATACTCGGTCTCCATGCGTCCTAACGGGGAAGGGTACGCTGATTGGATAGATTGCCGACAGTGTGTCGCACGAGCCATGGGCTCGTGCATCCAATACAGAAATGATAATAAACCGTGGTTGTGCCCCTTGTGCCGGACTAACAAGATTCCTACCGAGGCTCGCTTTTTGGATGCCACGACAGAAGGGTTGGAAAAGACCCGGAGGTTTAGAAGGGCCGAAGTATGGACTGATATTGCCTTGATTGCCACCTTGGTTGGCAACCCCCTCCAGGATTTCACCAAGGAGGATCGGAGGAGGGCCAATGAAAGGGCTCGGGATTACAGATGGATAGAGGGCAAATTAGAAAAACGAAAAACAAACGGCAGTGGGATTTGGATGGTTGTGCCGCATCCGTTCATGTGGTATGACTGGGTTAAGACAGTGCACGAGGAAACTGCGGTCCATTTCGCCGTGCGAATCATGGAGTCCGCTATCGAAAAAAACGAGTGGTACTCGTCCAATATCCGCGACGATGTGAAATACATCGTCGCAAACTGTCAAGTCTGCGTTGCTGCTAAAGCGCCGATTCAGTCACCGAGATCGATAGTGCCTACAGTAGTTGAACGGTCGTTCCAAAGAGTGAGCATGGATACTACCGACATAGTAATGCCCCCTGGCCCTAATAGTTGTGAGTATGCAGTCTTGTTGGTATTTGTCGACCATTTTCCGAAATGGATCGAGGCCTACCCTTGCCGCACGCGGCAAGCTGCTGAAATTGCACGATACGTCAACCGTTTCCTCGGGATGCATCAGGATACGGAGGAGATCCTAACCAACAACGGGGCTTAATTCAGGGGGGAAGTGCTAAGGAACCTGGTCCTACATGGCGCCGCCATACGAAACACTGCACCCCATATGTCGCAATCCAATGGGCCGGTGGAAAACGCCACCCGAGTAATAAAGACAACATTGCGAGGAAACATCGCGGCATGGGATATGAGGCCCTGGCCCGACATCGTTGACCACATCCTGGCGGTCCATCGCGGAACGCCCAAGGAATCGACAGGGCTGAGCCCCTTCCAATTAAGGACCAATAGCGTCGCCTGCGTTTCGATACCAAGCGTCCGAGACGAGTCTACATTGAACCGACGGCCCACCAGGGCCACGGCTCAGGACAAGGCCAAACGACACCTAGAGTTAATGGAACGGTCACTACCCAGGCTAGCCCGAAAACGACAGAAAATGATCGAACTATCCCAAGGACGCCAGGTACGAAGCTACGAGGCCCGAAATGGGAACACGGGTCCACGGACCCAGTGAAATTGGGGGACATGGTGCAGGTAAGGAAATGTGCTCGTCAGGGTAAGCTAGCGCCACGATTCTTCGGGCGGTATTGCGTGATCGAGCTCAGCCCTAACGGCGTGGACACCGTGCGTCTCGCCCCCGAGTTCTCTGGCAGTCGATCGCCCTGTCCGATCACACGCCACGAGGCAACGTGTCCTATCTTCGCCTCCTTTTCTCTACTCCATCTCCCTCTTCCTCTTGCCCCTTCTCTGACACCCCGTCACCTCCGCCATCGCCATGAGCTTCGCCATCGAGCGGGCTTTCGGTGATCTGTTGCTGATGCCACGGGGAGAGATCTCAGCCATCCGCCAAGTGCATCATCCATGGATCAGCCCCGACTTCTTGCGCCTTGCGCAGTTCTTCTGCACCTCGGGTGTGTACGGCACGGCAGAGTTCCGGTTCACGAACGATGCCCAGGTGGTGGTGCTGGCCGAGGCAACGGCGTTCCAACGGCGAGCGGCCCCGGGTATTAGCCACGTGTCTACCGTGGTAGTCTTTAGCGACGACATCGCCGCCTTCGACCCGACGCTGCAAGCTGCCATCAACAGCACCTTGTACAAGTGGGGTCGTGATCTGGCCACTGATTGGGATCGACGGCTCACAAGGCACGGTGACGAGTGCTATCCTGTTGACGACATCGAGGTCAACACGCTGCGCACAACGCTGCGCGAGCCACTTGTCGTCCTCCCTGAGCTTGCCCCCTTCCAGCTGCGTAGATGAGCCGCGCGCCGATCTCGATGTTTTCCCCTCCCTCGCTCTTCCCCATCTTCTCGCAGTCCTCTCACTACCCCCGTCTCTCTTTCTGCTTGGAGCCGCTGGCAGTACCCATCGTTGATCCGGATCGTTGGAGGCTGTGGCGTGCAGAGTTCGTTGAGCTCTCGTTCTGCCTGCTACGAGTGGATCTAAACTGGACGTGGGAAGGCGATCGGAGGCCCGCGTCAGAAACCGTGGAGCTGATCGTCATTCAGGCGTGGAAAACTAACGTGGCGGGAGACCTTATGGGATTCGTCTTTGGAGCAGTGAATCGGGGATACCAATCACAGATCGTGCGCGAACTTATGATCGTGATCGCGCGACTGGCCAACGAGCTGCCCCTCGATATTGTTTCTCAGAGCGACGAAGAACCCGTGCCGCATGTCCTCTCAAAGACTCTCGCCCCGAGCCTCCAGTGGTCGGCTTGTATCGAGGAGCGTTGGGAGGACGACCATTTCCCATCTCGCAACGAGTACCTGGACGTCCACAGCCTAACTAACCCCCGCTTCTTTCGGCAACCAACGACGTTCGAGTGGGCAGCGCTGAGAGCAGAGGAAGAAGCAAAAGAAGAATTGGAAGAAGAATTAACGAAAGAGGCCGGGGAAGTAGCAGCCCGGTTGGCCGAGGACGAGGAAGAAGAACGCGAAGCAGAAGAAGAAGCGGGGGAAGCCGAGGACGAAGAAGAAGAAGAAGCAGAGTGGGAGACTTCGGAAGAAGAAGAGGAAGCCTATAGCGAGCACAGTGAGGGGGAGCAAAGTGAAGAGGAGGAGGACGAAGACGACGACGAGGGAGTGGAAAGCAGAGAAGACGATCGGGAGCCAGCGCACGGCGACGAACTCGAGTGGGTGCCAAAACCGGATCGTCGAGAGGAGAATCCTAAGGCCGCTGCGCAACACAAGAAGGAGGTCGCGGAGGGAAAACGGCCAGTGGTCGACCCCACACCGAACGATCCTTCCAAGGATCCCGAGCCGCCCAAGCCGGAACATGGGGACCTTGCTGCCACGACCTCGAGCGCCGTGATGACAAGGCGCGGACCCCGATCCCGATCCTCATCCCCCTCTGCCTCCGCCCGTCCCCAATTCGTCAACGTGTCGATGAGGGGCTTCGCCCTTCGTCCCCGATCCATATACCAGCGTCCACTTAGCCATCTCTCTTTCAATTAGTACCTTCATCGCGTCGTCTTCCCCCGTAATCCCTTCCCCATCGCCACCTTCCAACATTTCTACTCCGCCCGCCTAGAGCTGACTGTCCATCCCCACCCTTCGGTTCGGTGCGCCGTCCCCGATTACCCCCTCCACGTTCTACTCCTTAGCGCCGCGTGGCGAGGCCGTAACCACATAGAGGTTTACTCATCGTCACGGGGACATTCCCCGCGGGCGAAGACCATGATCGGTTCCGCACGGACGTCCTCCGAACCCTCGTCTCCCTTTACCCAGACTACCTCGCTTCCCTTCCCCCCAACGGACAGCGATTCCCCCGCTTCCATCGCATCGTCTGCTTTCAAGATCTTCCCTATGACCTCACCGCGATTGGGCGCTTCATACCCGAACTTACGATGGAGCCGCCTCGCCCTCCCTCATACGCGTATCGCCTTTCCCCCTCCCGGTTAATTACTGATGCAGCGGTAATGGACGCGTGTCGCGGCGATGGCACGAGAAAGATCCCGTCCTTGGATCGTTGAGAGCCCAATCTGAGGAATTAGTAGAAGAGCAATGTTGCCACGTTGGACGACGTCCACACACAATTGAACGGTAAGTGGCATAGAGAGAAGTGCTCCCCGTGTCGATCGATTAGAGAAATTGACATGTGTCGACAAGCAAGCAGGAGCTTGCTAATATTAGAACCCCCTGGGCGTCACATATGTGACAAACCACTTTCTGAAAAGCGCGATTTTCTGCGCGGTTCCAATGAGGGGTCCTTATTTGGGAAGATTGGGCCAGTTACGGGAGATCGGGATCGGTGGGAAATTGCATCAGTATCCTTGCTTTTTCGTCTTTTTCGTCGCTTCTTTTCGAAGGGCTGGGTTCGGAGCTGGGTGTGTCCTGGGATGGTCGGTTGATTGATTGGTCGGCTGGATGGCTGGCGCACCACCGCGCGCGCGATTAATAAATGTTGACGTCGTTTCTTTCGTTTCGGTTTCGATCTTTTGGGCGTGGACATCGCACGAGAATTTGCTTCGTTCTTTTTGAATTTTCTTTTGAATCTCTTTCGAATTTTGTCGAGCCCCGATAGCTCTCGGAATTTCGGACTTTCCCCCTGAAGTTCGTGTTTTTTGCTTTTTCGCATTAGATAGGAATTTAGGAATTCAGTAATTAGGATTTTCTTGCCGCGCGGCGCCTTTTGTCTACGCGCTTCTTCATGAGGCTGCAACGGTACTCGGATAAGTGGGCGCCCTTAATCGCGTGTGTAACTGTAATTTTGGGCGGGCGCCATCGTAACTTTATCTTTCTTCTTGCACTTCGTCTCTCCCGCCCTCCCTCTCTTTTTTTTGCTGTGATTTTTGTAAGCCGCGGCTTGCATGCTCGAATCGATGCGTGGAGAAGGGCTACGTCCCCCACGCCGTGGCCCGACCATGCAGACGCAGTCAAACTCCTCCCCCGTCCCCTCTTCTTAGTCCTTGTAGTTCCGTGTTCTTCGCGCATGCATGCACGCTATAAATTCCGGTTGCGCGATTAGTTAACTCTTTTAACCCGTTGTTGGAAGCTCAGGGTTGCGCGATCAGGAAGGGTCGACACACGAGCGAAGTAAGAGGTGAGTAGAGTAGGAGTTGGGCAACCCGGCGGGCTGGTGCCGAACGTGCGGGATTGACGTGGGCCACGACGAACTGTGGGCACGGGCGAATCTGACGGGTGCGGGAGGACTAAGCGGGGTGACAACTTCGTGGGTTGGTGTGTGACGACGGACTGTCCGCATCGGAGAGAGAGAGAGAAGTAGAGAGAATTGAGGTCGATGGACGCGGATTTGTTGTTTCTTTGTCTCTTCCCCCTCCCTATATGTGTATATAAATTTTGATTGCAGCACCGGGCGGTTTGCCCGTTTTTGTTTTCCTTTCGGCTTTTTTGAATCTAGACTTGGGTTTTTGCTCACACTTGTCCTTGCGATGACCGTCTCGATTGAATTATGTGTATGATTGCTGGATGTATGGATGTATGGATGCTATGTTTGCTTGTCTATCTTCTTACTGAGAATCCTTGTCTTTGATTTTGCTTGTGTCGAATTTTTGCCTGCACCTGATGCAGTTGTAAAAGGGGATAAGAATTTGGCCCCGATAGCGATTTTGCCCTCGTTTTTGCTTGTCTCACGAATGGGATGTGGTGTGATTGCATCTTGCATAACCAAACTTACAGAGCAATTGGACGATTTGACGTCGGGCCCCGCGAACGCCGCGCGAGGACATGAGTAAATGCGATCCGAATCGCGCGTTTACACGCATCCCCATGCGCTGATTCGCCCACCCAGAAAAGATTCGCGACGGAACCGTCATCCCGTACGAGCACGCTGAGGCGCAACTAAATCCGGCTGTCCTGCACGTGCTCGCGCGCGGTGACGATAACCCGACCCGATTCATCCCATACACGATGACACCATGACTCGATCTTGGAGCTCAGACTCATCCTATGACCCGGATTATTTCACCCCATTGATAAACGAACTCCTACGGCAGCGATATCCTTGTCACACAGAGAATCGACTATGTCCGCGGGAATTCCACTGCGCCACCTCTAGCGACCCTCGGTGCTCTGATTTCCCTTCCCCCAACCATACCTACTACTTCATCCACCCGGGGTTCGTCGTCATCACCATCAGTTTCCCTCCTTTTCGCCTTCTTCTCCCGTATCATCAACTCAGCGTCGTTCCGTGGCCGGCCATAGCCCCCTATTGGCCCAGCACGCCCTGCGGAAATTGCCGATGTAGCGGCCAACGGAGAACCCCAGAATTCCGAAGGCCCAACCCAAACACACAGCGGCCTGCGCCACGCAGCGGCCCCCGACGGCCAAACTTTTCGGGGCCGCCTCCTCCGCGGAGGAACTTCCCCGTAAACCGTCACCCGCAGTACCCCGGCCCCATCGGGCCTTGAGTACTTTGCGCACGAGCCCCTTGTTCGCCTAATGGCATTCATACCCCTAAGACTCCCCCACTTTCCCAAAAATCCTTGGCACACCCCTTCTCGCACTTCCAAGCCCACACACCACTCCGATCAGGAAGTCGCGCTGGGCGTGAGGTTGGGCGTCACAGGACTGTGTGCACCACAGGCATGGGAAAGGGCCAGACCAACGAGCTACAAAAGTATAAATCAAAGGGCAGCGTCCAGCCATTCATTCATTCCTGCCTGAGCCATGCGGAAGCGCTGCCACAGCGACTTGTGCAAGGTGGTCTGTAGTGAACCCGAAGACGAAGTGGGCGAGAAGGAGCTTAGCCATAGCGATAGGTTAGCAGCGGCCATAGCCGCCATAGCTGTAGGTAGACTGTAGCGCATGTGTGTGTGTGTGTATGTGTGTACAGAGTATCGCGTGTGGGATATCCAGGGTGATCCTGTGTGTGCAAACAGAGAGTTGTGTGGGCGCTGTGTCGCCATAGCCATTGAAGTGAACTTGTACCTGAATTACGTTCTCGGCTACCATATCCCTGAGTTTCGAGTGGGCGCTTGTCGCCAGTTTGTTGCGCACTTGTTTGCATGCAATGCCATGCGAAGTGTGAATGAGAGCGGGTCTGATTGAAGAGGGGGTGGGGTTGGGTTTGCGCACCGTCAATCAGCCCCGAAACCCTCCCCCCACCCCCCACACTGGCCGCCACGCGGCCGCACATGGCCGCCTCCGGGGGAGATTCATAGAAATTCTCCCTCTGCTTTTCCTAGTGCTTCCAAAAGTCAGGTGTCGACCCCCGTCCCTCCCTGATCCCGTCATAGAAATTCTCCTTCTGTTTTTATTTTTATTTTTTAATATTTGAAGGCACAGGGGTGTGGAAGGCCCCAACGCCACCCCCCTCCGGCCCCAATACCGTCAGTGCCGGCCTCCACGTGGGCGGAAACCCGGTGAATGGCCGCTCACGGATTTTGGCTCCCTTGACCGGACGGTCACGTTCGTGTGACTAGTGCCGGTCACGTTCATGACGCTGGTGCTGCTGTGAGGTGAAATTGAGTGAAGAATGTAGCTTAAAAAAATAGAAATAAAAGAATAGACATTTCAAGTCTTCACGAGTGTACCAAGCGAGCTAGACAAGTTGGTTGATTTATGAGCGTAGTTCTTTAGGACATCCAAGAACATTAGTATGGCCCTAGCGAGTGGCCTGTGGCTTAGTGATTAGGGCACCCCTTGTCAACGTCTATAATTATGGTCTGAGGTTCCAGGTTCAAAACTCTGCACCTCTGCACAGATGACACCTGGAGCGCTTAGATAACATACAGTCACTTGCATACCCCCCTGGGGTGACACAAGGTAAGCTATTACAGACACTGCCTGCGCACCACCCAAGGGATCTTTCCATAATCTTGTATGTCTGTGGTTCTGCTGATCTCCCCAGTCTGGCATATCCACATACATATCCCTTGCGATTATTGCACACATGGCAGAGTCTTCCAGTTTTATAAGGGGTTCGAGTCTGTCACTGGACTTTGGGGGGGACCTTGTCCTACTTGGGCCGTCATCCCTTCACATACCGTACATATGGTCCATTGGATCCAATACACAGTCTACGCATACCGACAATTTCTAGTTCTTTTGGGACCTGCGGCACTTTTTTCTAGTTCTTTTGAAAATGATGTAATGTGGGGTCAGCCCCTAACACTTTCCCGCCATTTTATACACCCGCCGGTACCAAAAGTGGTTTAATTATCCTATTAGTTTCACATACATGCATTAATGCATTACAGAACAGCAACGACAAGGATTTCATTCAACGTGGCATGCATCCCTTTCCCTGTCTACCAATTCGGTTCACATGACATGCATTTCACAACAGCAAGTAATTCTTCCAATCATCGAGTAGAATGAGGAGGCATGCTTCCCTCTCTCTCTTTGC